CAATTTTTCTTAACTTGGGGTATTTAAATAAAATTTTTAAAGAATTTTTTTTTTTTAGTACTAGAATGTGGAATGTAACCTCACAATTTTTGTAGTTTCCCTGACCCAAATACGCTATGAGAGGTCTCCTTGAGCTTCACATTTTTTAACTCAGCTTTTCCTAGTTGGGGTAGGAGAAGAACCAGATTATAAAGGTTGCTGGTAAACCTCTTCGCTAGGAGTTCAATAAAATCAAATCTATAGTTTGTTTACCAATGCAAATAAATGTTACTTGGGTATTGCTTGGGAGTGAACATTTCTATTTTGTTTAAATTGTTTCTAATCACGCTTTAAGTTGTCATTGAACTATGTATAGTAAAACAATGGAGGCGTTTTGGAGCTCAAAATACATGACGTGGTTTTTCAAGGTTTCAATGGTGGCAATTTTTCTTAACTTGGGGTATTTAAATAAAATTTTTAAAGAATTTTTTTTTTTTAGTACTAGAATGAGGAATGTAACCTCACTTTCACAAGAGCAAGAAGAAGAAAGAGCTCTTCTTGTAAAAGAATGGTCTCGTTATAAGTACAGACAGCACTTAGAAGATCTTCAGCAGATTGATAAGATGATTTGCTCTCAGCAAAAGGCTCTGGATGAACTACGTGCTGAGTCAGAAGAGCTTTACTTGGAAGCAATTCAGGTATAAAAAAAATAACTTTGAGTGTGTGAAATTTTCATATTACAAGTGTTTTAGCTAATTGAGAAATTGATTGAGAATGAATATATAAAATGTTACTACTGGCCAATTTAATCTCCTCAAAATTAATTAATTAATTTGTGCACATTTCAATAGTAACAATTAAGGCTGGTATGATTTTAATCAATACAGGCGACTCTGGTTATAGTGAACTTCTAGGAACTAACAATTTTTGTTTACTACATCCGAGGATATCAAACTTAAACAGAATTTCTCCATAATGATTGATTTTATTAATATAGAGATACAGCAAAATACATTAGCAGCATGAAATAAAAATTTTAACATCTTTATTTTTTCTTAAAAAATCAACATCTTTTCAATTGTTTGCTTTGTACTTTTTCATTAGTAATTTGTCTAGATCCTTCTCCACAGTTCATACCCACTCCATAATTGATTCTATATTGTCCTTTATGTCTAAGTATCGTAATGCAGTCTTGACACCTTTCAATGCTTCTTGCACTGTTGGAATAAGGTCTCAACTCTGAGGGACTATTACACATTGTCCAATTCCAGACAGTATTCTATAAAGAAAAAATTTAGTGAGTTCCAATGAAAACTTTTTTTTCCTGCAAATGTTTCAAATAATTAGGTTTACCAGAAATTTCTGAGTAAAATCATAAACATTTTCATTTTTATGGCACAGTTAAAAAACAAAGCACACTTCGACCAAAATTCTAAAAGAATGTTATGTTGAAGAGATTCTGAATTACAATGTAAAACTAAGGCTCTGATTTGAATGTGAAGTGTGTTGTTGTGTTTACAATTCTTTAATTAATCTTGTTAAGATTAAGTGTTTATACTAGTTAATATTTTATTGACTAATGTACTGTAGTGTATAAAATATAATGTGCCATTGCTTTTGGAAACATAAGTCACAATATGGCAGTTTTGGTACATTAGTTGAAAAAATATTAAGTTTTATTTAAGAATTGAACATTAATAAAAGCATTGAAAACGTAAAAACACTTCACTTTCAAATCAGGAACATAGTAATACAGAACCTAATCCAATTGTAACATTAAAAATTTCTTTTACAATTTTGGTCAGTGTTCTTTGTCTTTTTACTGTGTTCATTTCATCATTTCCTAACAAGATAAACCAATTTTAACCCACTTGAGAGATAGCAGTAGTCTTCCTGTGGCTGACATTTGTAATGACGCAAGCCCTTCAAATGTAGACCAAGCTTCACAAAAAGTTATCTCTAAACTGAGAAGATACTTTTTTGTATTATAATATGCATCATTTTGAAGCATATTTATTTCAGAATATCTGTATTTGTAAAATTTTAAACAATTTCAATACCCTTTCAATTCTTTCTTTAAAAAAAATAATTGGTTAGAAATTTGAAATGGTGAAGTTCCTAAATGATAAACATGTGAATTTTATTGCAGATTGATCCAACTTTAATACCAATTGAGATAGAAGGACCTGCAAGAACTCCAGCAATAAAGAATTACGAAAGTCCTGATGGAGAATACACAGATGTATCAAAGAAATGGATTTAAGTTTCTTTTGTGTGCATTTTTTAGACAATTCAATAAATTTAGTCTCACCAATACAAAGTGTTGCTGATTATGAGATACCAAGAATTAAAACGTTTCTAATGCTGAAAATCAGACTCAATTTTTTTTTAAGAAATACCAGTGTTTACTTTTCATTTAGATGGGATGTTCCGTTAAGGCGCTGCTTTAATTATTGCACGGCCACCATGCAGGCGCTGGAGAGGAAGGCAAAATATTTGAATGTTTTATTGCATGAAAATGTATTCAGACTCAAGATTGCTTAATGTAACAGACCAACAATTGAAGCCTCACTATTGATGTGGAGCCTTGTGAGCAAGACAACTCAACTTGGCCATAAAAGCATTTTCACATAAAAATTGGGTTGGAATTTTGTAATTTCCAGAATCAATATTATATTGGATTATTTACTCCTACAACAAAGAACACACACACACACAAAAATTGTTACTTGTTGAAGGTTGTGTTGGATGTTTCCATATCTTGCTTCTTCATAATGTCCTTGTGTTCATAGTGTCCTTTCCTGTTGTGTAGTTGGCTTCAGGTTGCTAGAATTGTTTTGCAGTGGCAACGGTTATAGTTTGGATGGTCATTAGCACAAGGGAAGGAAGTTGTTAAAGATGGCTTGAGAGTGACAAGTGTGGCCAATGTGATAGGGTCATGGAACAGAGTTGGTGGGAACAAAGACAGATGAAGTAGGTGGTAGCTAGAATTGAAAAGATGCCAATACTTGTGCTAACACGGCAGTGAGTTTTTGTTTGCCCAATTAAAGTGGAGACAGTTTTGTGAAAAAGTTTCTTGAAAAATCAATTACTGTAATGTTTAGTTTAGATATGATTATTAATAGCGTAAGTCTACAGATGGGCCCATATGAAATTGATTTGGGAATGTAGTTCTAGCAAAATAGGGTAGCAAAGGTAAAAAAGAAAGATATGCATAAACTAGATGTAAGTCCCCTGGGCACCAGTTTAATTGGGCATAAAAGAAAAAACTTGTGAGTGATACATCCCAATTTTATTTTAAACCACTATGTAGCAATAAATAAAAGGAAGCATATTAGTGATATGCAGTCTTGAAACAGAGTTATGGAATCTGAAAGAAAATAATTTGAGTCATTCATAATCAACCTGTTTTTTTTCTTCTCTAATGAGAACTGAGTAGACCTCAATAGATTCATAAGAGAAAAGGCTTAAATTTGACACATCTTATTCTATTGAGCAGTTCTGAATATAATTTCCTGTCATTCAAGAGTAAGTGTATGGATAAGGAACAACTGTTATTAAACAACTGAAATAAAAAAATTTAAACCTTCAACGTTGTTGGACGATAGTTGCAATTTGTGGGAAAATATTTCCCTTTGTCATCGACACTTTTGATAATTGAATTCTCTAGGACATAATGAAATGACTAAAATATTTAGAAAATATCAAAATACTTTAAAAGTAAAAAATTCATATTTAACTTTCTTACTATGTACATAGCAAGGAAAGTATTGTAATAGTATTGTGGAAGTCAGCAATTTTTCGACAAAAACTCTTTGACGAGTCCTGGTAATGGAAAAGAAATATCCTATCTAATAAATTTCTTCCTCTTACTTCCTCATGTAGTCAGAATCTCTATTTTGTGGGTCCTGGATAATGAAAAATCAATTGACTGCAAAACAGGTTCATGGGCAATGCTAGGTGTTAAAACTGAGTTTATGGTCTTTTGTAATTTTGGAAAGGAGTCACTGTTTTATATAAGTGTGTATTTTATATCAACTAGAAGAAAATCTTTGAAGATAGCCTTTAGGAAAAGTTTCTTTCAGGACATTTACAGCATGCTATTAGTGAGGTGATCAAGGATACAGGTAAATCTTAATGCAAAGAATACTTTAATTAAAATAAGGAGTCAGTAAGGCTATAAAAAAAAAAGAATGGCATGGCAAATATTTTGCTCAAAATATTGCACCATTCAGCCTAGTATCACTTTTACATCAGAAATAACTTAATTCTGGGTGTACTTGCAGCTACTTATGGCAATGAAGTGGTTTAACAAATGCAATTTAATTGTTCTAGATAGTAATTTAATATTTATACTGTCTCAATTACCACAATGGTTAATTTTGTTTCCAGTAACATTTATATCAAGGAAATTGTATAATAAATCCCCCTCATTTTTTTCATTATATAATTTAGTTGACATTCCAGTTAAATTCAGATACTTAAATTTAGAATTTACTTAATTCCCTGAACTTAACTGAGTGACCGTTAACGAAGCAGATCAGAAACTCATTAGGTGGGGAGGATCCATGCAGTTGAATATAGCAACAACCAAAATTAAACAAAATATTTTATTAAGGTTCTATTACAGATAAAATATTTTAAAAATGAATAAATTAAACTACATATTAAATCATATATTACAAAAATCTACCTTAATTATAAAATCTAAAATACTTGGAAGGACAATTCTCTTAACTTCATAAGCATTTAATATCCTGTAGTGCACATCGATAAAATTTATACAAACCTCAGTCAACAAGACCAATAGTGTCTAAGCAGTAACCTCATAAAAACAATTTCATTACCAGCTATTAACCGGACATCATTGCAACAAAACAACTGTTTCTATGAAACAAGTTCACATTTATCTGACAATTGCATTCTTAAAAGATTGATTTTTCAGAACTCAACATCCAACTTAAAAGTATTCTCTTCTTTTTTGGCCATTACTCCACATTTCTGATACTCTCCCACTTTCTTCTCAAAGAAATTAGTTTTACCCTCTAGAGAAATATGCTCCATGAAATCAAAAGGATTTTCAGAATTGTAAACTTTTGAGAACCCAAGTTCAACAAGCAACCTATCTGCAACAAATTCAATGTATCGCTTCATCAGCTCTGAATTCATGCCTATCATTCCAACTGGAAGGGCATCAGTTAAGAATTCTTGTTCAATTTCAACTGCATTAATAATAATTGATTTCACTTCCTCCTCAGTAGGTTTCTGAACCAAATGTTTAAACATTAGGCAAGCAAAATCACAATGAAGACCTTCATCTCGTGAAATTAATTCATTGCTAAATGTTAACCCAGGCATTAAACCCCTCTTTTTCAGCCAAAAAATAGCAGCAAAGCTACCAGAAAAAAATATACCTTCAACAGCTGCAAAAGCAACAACTCTCTCTCCAAACGTAGCATGCTTACTACTAATCCAATTAAGAGCCCAATCAGCCTTCTTTTTCACACAAGGTAAGGTTTCAACAGCATTGAACAAGAATTCTCTCTCAGATGGGTTTGAAATGTAAGTATCTATCAACAGACTGTACATTTCAGAATGGACATTTTCCATAGCAATTTGAAATCCATAGAAACACCTAGCCTCAGTTATTTGTACTTCTTGGCTGAATCTCTCTACTAAATTTTCATTAACAATACCATCTGAGGCGGCAAAAAAAGCGAGAACATGCGAAATGAAATGCCTTTCTTCAGGCTTCATTTTTTCCCAATGAGAAAGGTCTTTCGACAAATCCACTTCTTCCGCAGTCCAAAATGATGCTTCGGCTTTTTTGTACATTCGCCAGATATCTTCATACTGAATAGGAAAAATGACAAACCGTCGTGGATTTTCCCGCAGCAAAGGTTCTAACTCTGGATCAAATGATTTCTTCTTTGTTTTTACTGGTTTGTTGTTGGGAGACTTAACCTAAAAAGGAAAACGAGAAAAATTAAACCCTCTAGCGCAAGGCAATCAACATTGGAACAGAACAATAACTATATATAGTACATACCTGTTGTTTATTAAGATTCGCTTCGTTCAGTGGTTTTCCCATTCTTGGATTTAATCCATCAGTTTCATCTTTTATTTTCAGATCATGGACAGAACTTTCAATATTCTCCTTGTTTCCTGTGGTGGACAACATCCTGATCTAATTATAAAAGTTATGAAAATTGAAATAACGAGCGCAGTCTCAAGACGCCTCCAAATTTCAACACGACTACACCGGTTCACACGTACCACTACTCGGCTTATCCCAGCTTTTCCTGTACGCTTTGCAACTTTCGCGCGTTTAACTGCAGGTGTTTCCCGCTAGAATTGCAGAGCACCAATCAAATTCAAAAGATTGTTTGCTTACGTTGTGTGATGAACACTTTTTTCCTATAATTACAACACGTAACATTAATGCGGTATTAAAACATCACGATATTATAATTACAATATGACAATATTTCGTCACTATATTTCAATGTAGAATAAAATGCAATTTTTTTATTTGAAATATTTTGCTGCGGATTCACTTTATTACGTTTTTACAATTGAAAAAATAATGACATTGAGAGCTCTCATTTTTAATTATTTTACTACAGTATTTTAAAATTAAGAAATAATTTAATGTTTGATGGTAATTTCCGCGCCAAAACAGTTTTTTTGGAGGGGTAGGGATCGTTGTGTCATCTACAGCTGAGAGGCTTTTCTAGCAGCGTACACTCTAATTAAAATACAATGGCGTTTTGAAGTGATAAATTGGACGGAGAGCGCGAAGCTATCATCCAGTCGCGAGCTTTGTTTTGTCTTCAATTTTTGGTACTGGAGCCCTCGATTGGATGATAATTTTCCCCTCTCTTTCCAGTTCATGGATGTAAAGTGCCACTATGTTTAAATTGGAATATAGAATACTGCCTATAATACGATTTATGTGGTCATGCACTTGACGTAAATTAGATGTTGCGGATTTATCTAATCGGGAGCTTTCGGAATGGGAACGTTGAAGCTCGCGACTTGATAAAATCGTGAACAGCTGATTTCCGTCAAGTGCAGGATGAAATAAATCCTAGTATATATAGCCCCCCCCCCCCAGCAGCGATGCGTGGAGAATGCTCCATATGACTCTGTCAAATGTTGATGTCATTGCAAATACCGACTGACGACGTGGCCTCTAAAATGTTTAACTCGCCTCTGATCGCCTCCAATGTTGTAGACGCGTGTGGACGTGTGTCAATACTGTGGTGAATATTTTGCTCGGAACATTTTAATGTAGAATTTGTATTTAAAAAAATGTCAAAGGGACGTGTAAGTGTTGTTGTATTGGGAGATGTTGGGCGTAGCCCAAGAATGCAGTACCATTCTTTGTCTCTGGCAAATGAAGGATTCACTGTTGATTTGATTGGTTATTCAGGGTCAGAACTTATAAGAGAGTTGCAGGAGCACCCAAATGTTACATTAAGATATGTTCCTTCATGTCCTGACTTTCAAAGCACGTTTCCTCGTTTATTTGGTTATGTTTTAAAAGTACTGTGGCAAATTCTTTCTTTGATGACTGTGCTTTTCTGTAAACGTAGGTCTGATTATCTTCTTGTGCAAAACCCCCCTGCAATACCGGCTCTTGCAGTATGTTGGATTTATTGTGTTTTGATGAGATCAAAGTATATAATTGATTGGCACAACTATGCCTACACAATCTTGGCACTGTCTGTAGGCAATGAAAGTATTTTAGTAAAATTTTCTAAATGGTTTGAAGGGTGGTTTGGTAGACGGGCAAATGCCAATTTGTGTGTAACAAAAGCTTTGAAAATGGACTTGGAGCAAAACCATAGGATTATTGCTACAACTCTTTATGATCGGCCTCCAGATTGTTTCCATCCTGTTCCTTTACAAACTTCTCATAATTTATTCAAAAAGCTTAGTGAAAAATATGAGATCTTTGGCAGTTCAGATGAAACAAAAACAGCATTTACAGAAATAAAGACTGGTGGTGTAATTTCTTTAAGAGAGGATCGTCCAGGGTTATTGGTTTCTAGTACAAGCTGGACTGAAGATGAAGATTTTAATATTCTTTTATCTGCACTTCAACTTTATGAAGAAATGTGTCAGACCAGTGCTTGTGCTTTGCCCCCTCTTATTTGTGTAATTACAGGGAAAGGTCCCTTGAAGCAATACTACTGTGAACTAATTGATAATGCTCAATGGAAAAATGTGAAGGTTGTAACTCCATGGTTACATCCTAGTGATTATCCCCAACTTTTAGCTAGTGCTGATCTTGGTGTGTGCCTGCATATGTCTTCAAGCGGACTTGATCTGCCCATGAAAGTAGCAGACATGTTTGGTTGTGGTTTACCTGTATGTGCTCATACTTTCAAGTGCTTGAATGAACTTATTCAGCATAAAAAAAATAGCTATATTTTCAGCACATCAGATGAGCTTTCTTCTCAAATCCAGTCATGGTTCAAAGACTTTCCAAATAACAGTTCACAGAAAGAAATTTGTCATTATTTCAAAGAAGAGTTAGCAAAATACAGATCTCTTAGATGGCATGAAAATTGGAAATTAAGCACTTCTTCATTGTTTTTGTAGCATGTAATATCTGATTGTTGTAAAATATTTTTTAAGCTGTATTGTGATCACAAAAAAAAGCAGAACTTAAATTGTTGTAATGTGTAATAAGGGGATTGTCTGATTAATCCACATGAAATGAGTGAAAATTAGTAAGGTTAGCTCTCTTAATTACAAAATTTTGTATACAAACTTGTCTTATAGGGGAACTAAATGAAAATGCTGTAAATCAGTGTGGTGATTTATTGGAATAAATGGATTCTCATTATTTGGATTCGATATATTGTCACTGACTGTCAGAGGTCTGCATATGACTGTAAAAAACAGATTACATCATAGACAATTAAAACTATTAAAATTCAAATCCAATGTTATGTTATCCAATTATATGTTGATATAAGCAGGGCTGAGTTTCTGAGAGAATGCTCAGGGACACACGCCTTTCACAATGTGAATCAGTGGTGTAATGAGGAGCTGTCAGCTGCCTGGGGTAGAGGAAAATTTCGCTGCCCTTATATTTAGGCATTTCAATATAAAAGACAAAAATATACAGTAGTTACAAAGAACTTTTCAGCAAGAACAATTTATAATTATTGTGTATTGTGCAGGTTACAATGAAAAAGTAATTTATGTATGATTTACTATATAATAATCACATTTGTTAGTTTTGGATTCATAAACGCAAGTATCGTAGAATGTTTCAAAATAATCACTAATAAAATTTTTTTAAAAATATAACCTACTTTACTGAAATTTACTTGTTCTGATTTTTTTATTTAATAAATTAAAGCGTGAGAAACACAGTGTACAGTCAAATACAATTACGTAAATTAAAACAAAATTAAATAAAATATTTAATACTCATTGTGAAATGTAAATGCACAAGAATACAACTTTTCAATTAAGTTCAATAATTTAACAATCACTTCATCTTGGCTATTGAAGCACTAAAATCACAGTTGGGAAAGCACGTACATATATAAGATTAAGTTAATATGAATTGAACGACTGACAATCTATGAATGAAATTTTCTTTGAATGGTCAAAGCATCACTCACTGACTTCCCTGAAGGGTCTTGTCCATACAGTAAGCTAATTTGCAAGTGGTGTTATACAATATCGAACATTATTCTTTATATGATAGATGTCTTTCTTGCTGAATGTTTGTCATAAACAATCCAAGCACAACGTAACATTCGGGGAATCCCTACAAGTCGGAATGACAGTGTTGCAAGTCACTACAATGAGCAAGATGGCATTATTATAGATTCATTTAAAGAAGTCACAGAATAAGCAATGAAAGATTTCGTTCTCTTTTCAATTGGTCTGAATCGTAGGTGCGACAAAAATATGAAATGAAATGGTGCAAATGTTTACACATTATTATTATTAATATTATTATTATTTTATTATTATTATTATTATTTATTGTAAAATTTTCCCACCCCCTAAATAAACCGCCCAGTGCAGGCCACCCATACCACCACCATTACGTTATGCCACCAATGTGAATGCTCCAAATAAAAAATACATTTTAATGAATTCAAAATGCAGAGAAATCGGTTATCTATAACATTAGTAGCAAAAAGGGTAAATAATATATTTATCAAAAGTAAGGAGCAGAGATTTGGCATTTATGGTACTGATATTTTGATGATTTGGAATATTAGTTCATTTGCAAAGTTCCTTAACTTTAATTCTAGATACAATATGAGAAATTCTAATTATATGTTTACTTTTAAATTTATTATAAAATTATGTTGCTTACATGTTGCACATACACAATTGTATATCAATTATAAAATCAATTTAATCTTTTGAGGCATTTCTGAGCTTGATTTTCCAAATGAAGTATTCCACGTATAATCATTCTCTTTCAGTAGAAAGGGAAGGCAAAAAGATTTAAAAATAATTCTCACATCGTTGCTTTTCTGGATTACTGTTGTATCTCAAAACTTGTTTTGTACAAGAGAGCGCATTTTAATTTTTCCTGTAACTTCATTTTCTTCCCATTAATTAAGAAGATGAAATATCATTTACAAGTAATATCAAAAAATTATTAAAGTCTCTTGGTTTTTAACTTATTAAAATGGAATTTCTAAAACTCTGAATTTTTGGGCAACAAAATTCCATAAATATAAATGCTTATCTCTGACCATGATATAATCAAACAGTTTCCACCAAGGGACAATTGATGTAATTTCAGAGGTAAAACTTATTGCATATTAAATATTTTCATTCAATACATTTTAAAATCTCAATATTTGTTTATTTTGAGTTACAACAGTATTCTTGAAAAGCGACGATGTGTAAAACTATTATAAAATATTTTTCTTGTTTTATTTTCATTTTATTGCGTTTGTATCTATTATAAGATTTAGTTGATCAGTGGGATCTTCTAGTAAAAGTAACTTTTGTCACGAGTTCATTCTAAAATATTATTATTTATTTCTTATTTAAGGTCGCATCAACTACTAGGTCATTAGCGACCACTATTGCTTGTAACGGTATGGTAACTGTGGGTTGACACGATAATGATGATAGGGGGTGAAAGGACGAAACACAATACAACCATGCCCAAGGCGGGACTCGAACCCGCGATCCTTCGGTCCGAGTTCGCTACGGCACTACTGCCTTAGCGATCTCGGCCACCGGATCGGCTATTATTATTATTATTATTTTTATTATTATTATTATTATTATTATTATGATGATGATGATGATGCTGATGATCATCATCATCATCATCTGCTAATTTTTAATTCACAATATTTGGATATTTAAATAATTGTGCCTTAAAGGAGGTAGCTGATGTGCGTTTTGGAGGTTGCAGCATTATGTATCTTTTCTTCATATGAAACTATTCCCATGCCTACCTGAAGGTTTATGTGGAAACTACATTTTCAAGGTTGTCAATTTCATCAATTTTTGGGTTATTCGTGATTTGATAATAATGACTCGTTTCTTACATTTTAAATAACATTGTCAGGGCTTGGATTCTGATGAAATGATTTGTCATCTTTTCATTGATGCATTCCGGACCTAGCTAACTTACAACACTTAGGTGATAGAACTGTAAAGTTATTGGGTCATCTTGTTATCATTTTTCCATTTGTAGGTCATTTTTCTGGACATTTGTGTCATTTGGTGTTTTTTGTTAGTGAATGTATTATTAATTTACAATGACACACTAAAACAAAGTGGGTGTGGGTTTTTTTTCGCATCGGGGTCTGTTTTTTGAACTCTCAAAATTACACGGATCTGCGGTAACTTCCTCGGGCCTTTCAAAACTGACAGGTGGAATATAGTCTTTATATTTATAATTTTATATAAATACATTTTATTCAGAATTATAAACTTCATTAAATAAGTAAACATATACAGTTTAAGTATTTTTCAAAAATATTGGTCTGTAAAAATGAATTGTATGAATAAAATGCAAATCCTACCCATGTTGTTCTTGTAAGCCTCTTGTTATTAATCTAGGAACTTTACTATTACTTAGTCTCGACATACAGCAGTATGAAGCAGTAGTTTTTGTCAAAAATGACTGAAGGGTGGGAATATATTTTCAGCAATCACTCGACATTGTAATCATTTTCATCAGGCGACTCGCAACAAAAAAATCATATACAATACATGTAAATTATTTTACATCTCCTTGCCAGCTGGGACTAAATGATTAAATTCGATAAAAAAGTTTGTCCCAAGTAAAATATTTTCTGCTTCCAACAACGTTTCTATACAATTAATTACTATATTGAGTATCCAAAAGAAAAGTAATATTAATTTTACAATGACAAAATTTAGTATTTACCATTTGAATTAATTTGCAAAAGTGCAAAGTGCAAAGTAAGAAATGCGACAAAATTGTCGGGCACCCTTCGCCATGGACGCGGCGTCACCCGGACAGCCTAGTAAATACTGACTCCGGCCGCGGAAGCCTACGCTCGTCCTTTGAGCTGCTCGAAGCCCCACATCGTTTTTCTTTCTCTACGCATGTCGTTTATTTTTGCTTTCCCGTATACGTATGAATATACGGAGTAATATATGTAGTTATGTAATGCTGCGGTAAATTGATTTCGAGATTTCAACGAAAATACACGTTTTGGGGTCCCCTGATACAGAAAAAATGTTTTTTTTCAAAACGTCCGTTTGAGTGTCTGGTGTATGAACGGTTTTACTGTAGCGCCTAAACCATGCAAAGGATCTTTTCCAATCTGAAGAAACCCCTGTTCATTTGACCTAAAGCAAAGCTCTGGGATTTTGAAAATCATTCTTTAGTTTTTAGGGGTACTATACATGAAGACCCTGGGACATTTTCAAAATTTTCTCAAAAATGGCTCCAAATTATTTCTTTAAATTTCTTATAAGAATAGAGTAAAATGCCCTTATAAATGTGGCATAGGTGATTTTCACGGTTAACACTGAATTTTCAAAAATTTCAAAAGAATTTTTCGGGGCCTTCCTTCAACAACGAACATAAAGATAGAGATTTTTTTCTTCAAATACAATTTGTTCACAATTTGCATTAAGGCTAGGTACATTTTTTGAACATTTTCTTAGTTTTCGCGCAATATTGCGTGCAATTTGTGCAAAACCGCTCAATTGTGTTATTTGAACTTTTGGTAGGGATTATGCTAAATGTACTGTATAAGATGACTAAACGCCATATTGCTCTATTCTTTTGTTTTTCAAAAATATATTTTTTTTTTTACTTATCTCTCACGTTAATATTTACTTTAGCAGCGATTTGCTCACATTATTATATTTATGAGTACATGTGCTTTAAACAATGTCATGTAAAGAAACTCGAAAACAACCGTTTTCTGTCAAAACTAGCTCAAAATTTCACAATTTCAGAAACGCTCAAACGCCATTTTCTCGAAAACAGCTCCAATGTTTTCAAACTTTTGTGACGGTAGTGCGGTAGTGCTAATTGCACTCTTTAATACGACGTAAAGTTCATTTTTTGTTTTAAAAAATACACAAATGATTTTTTTTAAATATCCCTCCTGTCG